CCTGTACACATGCTGGGGCTGGTGTAACTTCTCCCTCTTAATGTCTTGTGGCTGTTCCTCCCCTGCACCCAAAAGGCTCAGCAGAGGGAACTGACTGTCCGGCATGTCAAACAGACCGAGAAGGAGCTTGGCCACCAGCTCAGGCTGCAGAGGGAACAGTATGAGGCAGCTATCCAAAGGCATCTGGCCTTCATCGACCAGGTAATCTCTCATCCCAACTCGGACTGATGCTTCTGAAGCCAGGAGCCAAGGTAGCTGTACCCTGCCTGGCTGCCTGATGCTGCTGCTGCTTCTCCCTGCCCAGCTCATTGATGACAAGAAGGTGCTGAGTGAGAAGTGTGAGGCTGTGGTGGCTGAGCTGAAACAAGTGGACCAGAAGTACGGCAAGAAGATCACGCAGATGCAGGAGCAGCACGAGCTGGTGAGGGGACAGGGAAGGTGGGGGTACAGGGAGAGGCGTGCCATGGCCAGAGTTGGTTGGTTTTGCTCAAACGGGGCCTCTGTCCAGAGCAGTACGGTCTCTCTCACCTCAGTGGGCCCCGTTGTTCTGAGGAGCCCTTCTCTGTGCACAGAAGGTCCGTGTCACCTGTGGAGCTTTGCCCTGGTTCCCCAAGAGGCTGCTGTGCTGCCCAAAGCCAGGTGCATGGGACTGAGCAAGAGGCAGTGCCAGCTCCCAGGGGCTCTACTTGGAAAGACCCTTCCCACACGTCCTGCTGTGGACAGAGCTCTCCCCGGCTGGGCGGTGACCGGGGGACTTCGCTTTGGCAGAGGTGAAAGCAGGTGCTGGCACAACCCTGATGCCACAGAGGGATTTGTCCCTGTAGCCGTATCCTTCTGAGCTGGGTGGCTTCTAGCCCCCTTCGCAGGAGAAGGGCTGCTCTCGGAGCTAAATGGGGATAAGATTATAAAGGGGTCTATAAGCAATAGTAACAGATCTCTGGGTTTTTTGCTGGGCTATTGCTGGCAGCTTCCCTCGGGAGCGTGCAGAGAGCTCTCTCTCCCGCAGATGGAGGCAGCTCGGCTCGCCCTGTGCCGGGCCCGGAGGGGAGGCAGCGCCGCTGGCCCGCAGCTCTGCCGCGGGGCTCGTCCTGGCTCTGCTGCCCCGGTCCCTGCTCACCCTTGGCCTTGCAGCCGAGCTCGTGCCCAGGGCTCTGGAGAGGGGCAGGCGTTTGCACCAGCCGGAGCCTGTTCAGAGGGATGCCCTCACGCAAGCAAGGCGAAGGCTCGCTTGGCTCACTTTGCCTTACTGTTTGAGCTCAAAACTCACTGAGCCCAGCCGAGAGGAAGAAGCCAGCGCAGTGTTGCTGCGCTTGGTGCCTGGAGCGGCCCCTTCCTATGGAGGGACGGGGCTGGGTTTTCTGCTGGAGACCGCGCCGGG